AGATTGTATAAGCTGTCTTTATTAATGTGAAATACACAGAAATTGGTATTTAAATAGCTTTAATATAAAAAATAAGAAATATGATTATTTAATTTTTATCGAAAATCATCCCTTGAAGGGGAAAGAGTAGAAAATAAAGTTTATATGGGCAAAAATTATTAATATCATTGTATCAGAATTACTTGAAACTTGGTATTATTACTCTACAGTATAATTAAATCAATACGGATAAAATGGGGAATGAAAGTTTGTATGAAACTCTGTAATTAATACACGGAAAGTAGTATTTACCTTTAAAATGAAAAACAAAACAATATAAATATTGTTTTCCTAATTCAGCTCTTAAAAGGGTAAAAGAATAATTCGAAATGATCAGAATTATTCGAAACTTGGTATTAATGCTCTTCAATACAATTAACTAAACATGTACGAGTATCTTAGAATTATTCAAAATCAGCCCCTACGGAGGTAAAACTGGGCGGTGAAGTTGGAGTTGGTTGAATATTAAATATATTACTCAAAGTAACATGGCTCAAGTACTCCGTAAGTGCACACTTACTGTGTGGGATATAAAGTAATGAACAGAAATTATTCTAAATCCAAAGGAACATTATGTATCACTTCTCGGCTGGCCACAGCAGTGAAAACTATAATAGACCTAGAGCGCGAGACTCGAGAGAGAGAACTAGCTAGATAGATAGTATCCTGCTATCTATATCCTCCTTCTGAAGGTTGGCACACCTGTAATGAAAAAGTCACTTAAGTTATGTAACGGGATTAGAATGTGAGTAATTCATTAAACATAATAACAGCCACTATGCCTGTTCGATCTTAATTAATTTACAGATTCGGCTTAGTTACAATTTTATTAGGTATATGTATAGATTGATAGTTACGACTGCTTAAGGTCATCTCAATCTATACGTATAATATAAAAACTTTTTAACAAAAAATAAAAACCGACTTCCAGGCACTAAAATGTAAAAAATAACTAAACGGGGGTTTTCATTTAGTATAGATACCTAATCAGATATTTTCGAAGTCGGTGCCAGCCGACGCATAGGAAATCTAATATATTTTGATACGTAAAATACAATTTACCTATTAGATATTCATATCTTAAAATATTGTCGGCTGGCACCGACTTCGAAAATATTTGATTAGGTATCTGTTTCTAGACTATGACTATGTGTCTAGACGTCTGTTCCTGGAGGTCATGAGCCAACTACTTTCACGTGTTTATTCAAATTATACAAATTACCATCCAATTTAACGTGACGCAACTTGAAAATGAACATACTCGTAGTACTCAGTATTTATTTTGCCCTAAATCATGTATGTATGCTATTATATAACAAAAGAAACCCAGTAACGTGTGACGAAAGACGATGACTGCATTTTCTCAGAATCGGTGAATCGAGCATAACACTCCGATAAAGTAATTCGTGGATAAAATATAGAGCAGACTAAACAGATACTTAAAATTATAGTGATTCATATTTCAGGAATGCACAATTAGGTACGAGGCTTTTATGTCTCTTATCGTTTAAATTTAAGCATTTGAGTAAATTATTCATTCACTAGCGACTGACCCTTGCTTCGCTTGGGTTCGTCTCTAGGTACGTTTTGACGGTTAGTATAGAATAGATAGACTAAAACTAACTAGATATATAAAAAATGCTTTTTCCTGACTGACTGAATAACTGACTGACTGATCGATCAACGCACAGCCTAAGCTGCTGGTCATAGAAACGTGAAAGAAGGACGTATTCCTTGTATAATGTAGGCATCTAATAAGAAAGGATTTTACGAAATTCATCTCCTAAGTGGGTAAAATGGGCGATTAAAGATTGTATAAGCTGTCTTTATTAATGTGAAATACACAGAAATTGGTATTTAAATAGCTTTAATATAAAAAATAAGAAATATGATTATTTAATTTTTATCGAAAATCATCCCTTGAAGGGGAAAGAGTAGAAAATAAAGTTTATATGGGCAAAAATTATTAATATCATTGTATCAGAATTACTTGAAACTTGGTATTATTACTCTACAATATAATTAAATCAATACGGATAAAATGGGGAATGAAAGTTTGTATGAAACTCTGTAATTAATACACGGAAAGTAGTATTTACCTTTAAAATGAAAAACAAAACAATATAAATATTGTTTTCCTAATTCAGCTCTTAAAAGGGTAAAAGAATAATTCGAAATGATCAGAATTATTCGAAACTTGGTATTAATGCTCTTCAATACAATTAACTAAACATGTACGAGTATCTTAGAATTATTCAAAATCAGCCCCTACGGAGGTAAAACTGGGCGGTGAAGTTGGAGTTGGTTGAATATTAAATATATTACTCAAAGTAACATGGCTCAAGTACTCCGTAAGTGCACACTTACTGTGTGGGATATAAAGTAATGAACAGAAATTATTCTAAATCCAAAGGAACATTATGTATCACTTCTCGGCTGGCCACAGCAGTGAAAACTATAATAGACCTAGAGCGCGAGACTCGAGAGAGAGAACTAGCTAGATAGATAGTATCCTGCTATCTATATCCTCCTTCTGAAGGTTGGCACACCTGTAATGAAAAAGTCACTTAAGTTATGTAACGGGATTAGAATGTGAGTAATTCATTAAACATAATAACAGCCACTATGCCTGTTCGATCTTAATTAATTTACAGATTCGGCTTAGTTACAATTTTATTAGGTATATGTATAGATTGATAGTTACGACTGCTTAAGGTCATCTCAATCTATACGTATAATATAAAAACTTTTTAACAAAAAATAAAAACCGACTTCCAGGCACTAAAATGTAAAAAATAACTAAACGGGGGTTTTCATTTAGTATAGATACCTAATCAGATATTTTCGAAGTCGGTGCCAGCCGACGCATAGGAAATCTAATATATTTTGATACGTAAAATACAATTTACCTATTAGATATTCATATCTTAAAATATTGTCGGCTGGCACCGACTTCGAAAATATTTGATTAGGTATCTATACTAAATGAAAACCCCCGTTTAGTTATTTTTTACATTTTAGTGCCTGGAAGTCGGTTTTTATTTTTTGTTAAAAAGTTTTTATTTTTCCATTTTTAGTGTAGACTTAATAAGCAGGTAATTTGTCAGAAGAAAGTTTTTAATAACATATTCGATTAAGCAATTTATTTAAAAAATATATTTATTGTTGATTTTTTTAAAAACCGCTCGACCGATTTCGATAAAATTTATTCAAAAAAAAATCCAAATCGGCTCAGGCGTCTTCAAGTAATCGGTGAACATACATAAAAAAAAAGATTCCGACGAATTAAGAACCTACTCGTTTTTGGAAGTCGGTTAAAAACTGTAATCAAGCCGGATCTGTACATTAAATATTTTTTGGAAAATCTTATTGAAATAAACATTATTATCGATACAAAGGCCGAATCTATAGTTTTTAGAATTTTTGTCTGTCTGTCTGTCTGTTACCGCATCACAGAAAAACCACTGGAGAGATTTTGATGAAATTTGGTATGGTGATAGCTAGTTATCCGGGTCAACATATATGATACTTTTTACTGCGGGAAAATGTCTTATTTCTGAGAAAAAATACAAAAACTGCAATGTAAGAGTATATTATGTTAAACCTAAGAATTTGGTTTTTGGTCATCTGAACGCGGACGGAGCCGCGGGCAATGCTAATATTATATACGAGTATATCTTAATAATATATTTAAATATATTTAGTATTATATGTATATCGAGTAATTAATCCTTTAAAGGGCTTGTGTAAGGCAGGCATGAAGCGGTTAATCATGGTTGTCTGGTTGCAACGTAGCCTCTGAGCGCCTTCGGCAGGTGCCTGGTTCTACTGTGTACTTACATACCATTTATTTATAGCCTCGCCACACATACAATGTTGTTGTGCATCGGCTTGCTTTATTTATTGCGCTACTTGTGCTAGCGCAGTGTGGTCGTACAACTCTCAAAGCCGACTTGTAACTTGCAATTCCTGAACTGTACTTTTTTGTCCGTCTGCGGTGCAAATACGAAGTCTCTCGACTATCGAGCGAACTATCAAGGACCAGTCTGGCTTAGGTGATGATCGCAGTCAACGAATATATATCTATACTATAATAAAGCAGTAACTTGGCGAAATCTGTACATGAAATATTTTTTAAAAACAATGACTGTAACGTATTATGTACAATATAGACCCCAAAACAATAGCTATTAAAAATTTTGGTCTGTTTGTCTGTTTGTGTGTGCGCGTTTCACGCAAAAAGTAATGACCCGATTTCAACGAAGTTTGGTGGAGTGATAATTTATTACTCGGGTCAACATTTAGGATATCTTTTACTTCAAGAAAATCTTTCTTTCCTCAATATCTAATACACAATAACTGGTTTTATCGAGTCCACCAGCCTCCTTAGAAACCTTCCGCTGACTAAGCCTTAAGACATACATTAAAACAACGTGCTAAAAAATTGTAGGTCTTGAAAAGGCCTACTGAAAAATCTGCAATAGTATATGTCTATCTCCTAAAGAACACTCGCAATATCTATTCTTATCTATAGGTACCTATAATAAAAGTAACTTAGTCAAATCGATGTGCGAGTTTCACGCAAATAGTACTGAATCAATCATTTCTCAAGTGAGGGAAATATATTTTCATTTTTTATAATACTTACCTACTTTTCTATACCTATCATGTAGGTACATTGCACATATATGTGTATATAGTCTACTCTATACCTACTTACTGATAAAACGTAGGGATGAACCCGAGCGAAGCAAGGGTGAGTCGCTAGTATAATGTAAAATATTTTGTAAGACTTTCTAAATATTTTTTTTTAAATCGTCGTCATTATTTGTTTTTATTTTCTAAATAGTTAAACTTTTTAAACTAAAACATACATTTACAAACTTAAATAATGTAAGGCTTTGTATTTTTTAATTAAAATATGTAAAAACTTGGACTTTTGATGATTTACGCAATCATTAAAAAAAATTGAGCTGCTTACTAAAAACATTAGCATGAGACGGCAGCAGAGCAGCAGCAGAGCAGGTGGTTTGTGCAGTGAAAGGAGCGAAGTGTGAGCGTGCAGCAGCGGGGAAGGTTAGTATGCGGGGTGTGGCGGCGTGGCAGGGCAGCGGGGTCGGCGGGGGGTCGTCTAGACAGGCCGCAGACGCACGGAGGCTGCGCCGCGCCCGGCACACGCACACACTCGCAGGATGCAACGCCCGATCACGTTTCACGTTGCACACACAACCGATGCAGTGACCTCTACCACTCAAGGTACACTGCATCTAGAATCGATTATAAATAACAAAGAGGAAAAATTCTCACCGATACCAAACAATGTAACAAACCAGATAAATAATAACAAATATATAAATTACTACAGTTGAAATCCGCCTTAGCCTTTCTAGAACCTTAGAAACCATCATATGAAATATGAATAGAACAGTATAATATTTAATATATGTATATTACCAACTGCTAAATAAAATCTCTATACAAATAGATTGTACCAACAAATAATTTGCTTTCATTTCTAGAAGTATACGTGAAGATCTACGTTTAAAATCACATACACATGTGGTGGTGTAGGTTTAGCTGAAAACAAACAGAATTACATCTTGTACATAATATTTACTTTCATAATATGCCTTATAAATGTAATAGGAATGTTATATTTTCCTTATAAACAGATAAGTTATTAAAAACTAAAACTATCTTTTCGGATTTATTCGCAGATTTATTTTGAATTTTGGTTCCCGACGTTTCGAATGCTTTACAGTAATCAGTGTCATGGGAAAGACTAAGGTTTTAGACAGTATATAAGTGTATAATCTATGGTTTTAGACGTCTCAAAGGTTATACTTGTTAAAGACAGTGCTTACCCACAATGATGAACAAATGATTTCAAAAATTATTTTTTGTCTATAAAAGTAGCAATAGTGTTTCTTAATATTTTAACTTTAAATAATAGGAATCTAAAGTAATATTTTTTTATTACATATAAAACAATAATATTGCTTAAATAATTAATATTTTAAAATTCTTATTTTCTTTACGGTTATATTATGACTAGCGACTCACTCTCGCTTCGGTCGGGTTCGTCCCTAGCTTGATCCCACGTACAAACTTTATTTTTTCCAAACATCCCAAATAACTTCAATAACAACTAAAATTAAATAAATAATATTGCCATATTTAATTATACTCGTAATACATACTTACAAAAAAAATTAAATGTTTTAGTCGAATCATTGTAAATGAAAAACGGCGGAACCCAGTTATAATGAATGGATTTGAATGTTTTTTTGGGTCCTTAATACTTGACCGATTTTTAAATACTTTATTTCTCAAATCCATTTCTTTTGTTTAAGTAATTGTTTTTCCTAATATAAAAGATAAAAAATAAGATAAATTAAATTTTTAGATTATAATTTTTATTCTTGATACTTAGTAATAACTTCAAAATAATATAAAAATATAATTTTTAAGTTTGTATTCATTACAAAGAAATGAATGCATATTACATGCAGTGATTATTGTTATTAGTTTAATATAACTATTTTACCTAGAAACCTTTTTTTTATTTGTCGAGACTAAGTATATATTATTTACAGACACATATCATCAGATGCAATTTTACTATAAGTTACAAGTACCATTTATACTTATTTCTTGTATTCAAATTAGTACATTGTATGAATAATAATTAATTTAACTGACATTATACATTTTAAATAAAAACATTATACAAGTAATATATGCATCTATGACAAAAGTATACAATGTTGGTTCCTTAAATAAAAAGAAATACTCACTTAGATCTTCTTATATACTCATATAATTGAATGTATCATCACAAAGCGAGTAAAACGAGCTGGAACAGGAAGTCTGCTGTTATATTTTTTTCATTATCGCGTCTGCTGGATATCGCCTTGCGATTGGAATGCTGCAAGCTGATAGTAATCTTTTCAAGCATTTTGTGCTTATTGTATATGTTTCTGCTATATTTAAGTAGTGTATATAAGTTGTCATCATCTTGTTATATGCTACTTGATGTCTTTGCGAGGGTAATCGGCCGCTACTAAATATTATTATAGCATTCGATGAAGTAAAAATAAACTAATTTGAATGTTAAAAAAGGAATATAGGAGAGTTGTTAAATAAGCAAATGAAACTGACTAAGGAAATAAAGCAAGTTCTAATTGATTTCGAGTAATATTTCATTCAATTTAAATATCACATTTATAACAATAAAATCTATACCTATCAATCAAAAACGTAGATTTAAATCACATATGTAACTAGAGATAAATAAAAAAATTAAAAATTGATTGCATTTTATTGAGATATTTTATCACGAATAATTAATTAATTATAATTAAATTTTTAATTTAACACAGCAATATCTAAAAAAAAATGCTTTAGGCAACATGTAAATAATGTGTAACAAAGCGGAAATCGCTCGATATCGCGTAGCACAAGCCGTCGACGTACGGTCGACGCTCTGCGTACTCGTAGATAACGGATTGATTGACTCTTATGTTGTCGTCCGGTACGCGTTGTGTAGTTCTCTTTGTCACAAACATGAAAGTCCTAAAACAAATATATTTCAATGAAATCTTTATTTAATATGTTCCACTACTAATTTCCCATTACTTCACATTGATATAAGATTAATCCGGAAATCTTATAAATTGTGTAGAGTATGCATTAGAAACTACTTTTAAAAAAGTAACTTATTCTTGTAGTATAAGTTTATAGTCGTCGTATATAATTCTAGGTTCACTTCGATTCACGTCGATTCACTCTCGCTTCGCTCGGGTTCGTCCCTAGGTTGATTCCACATACAAACTTTTAATCCCATTTTCACCCCCTTGAGGGATGATTACCGGAATAAAAAATATTCTATGTCCTTTCAGGGTCTTGAACTATCTTCTTACCAAATTTCATCTAAACCGGTCTAGCAGTTTTTGAGTTTATTCGATACAAACATACAAAAATACAAATATTTCCTCTTTATAATAGTAGTGTAGAAAACAGTAATTTAGCGAAATCTGTTCGTGAAATATTTAAAAAAAACAATGACTGTAACGTATTATGTACACGATATAGACCCCAAAACAATAGTAATTAAATTTTTGTCTGTTTGTCTCTTTCTCTGTAAGTCTGTTTGTTTGTGCGCGTTTCACACAAAAAGTAATGAACCGATTTTAACAAAATTTTGTGAAGTGATAACTTATTACACGGGTCAACATTTAGAATACCTTTTGTTTCAGGAAAATCTTTCTTTCCCACGGTAAAATACAATAACTGGTTCTATAGAGTCGTCCTTAAAGACATATGGCTAACGCTGGCTAAACCTTAAGAGAATCAAAAGAGTGTACTAAAAATTGTAGATCTTAAAAGGGCCTATAGAAAAGTCCACAATATCATAATTCTTTCTCCTAAGATACACTCGCAATAAATATTTTGTATCTATTTAAAACGTACCGTGGGACTCACCCGAGCAAAGCGCGCGTAAGTCGCTAGTTTTACAAATAAATTTATTTAAACTTGACACATCAACTTGACAGTAAAAAATATAAAACTGATAACATTTTTTTATTCTAAAAATACGCTACAATTTGAATAATTCATGAAATCAATAAATAATTTATGAACGTCTTCACATATATTATGCATTGTATAACTTTTAACTTTTTAGTGTAGATTTATTACAAAATCTAACTAGTATTTTGCTACAAAATGTAACGCTTGAATATCCATTTTGATTAAATTATACACACTTTAACATGTGTAACTATGTGTCTGTCTATGGCATCTTACTTAGCGCCCAAACGGATGAACCAATTTTAATTTAGTTTTTTTTGTTTGAAAGGTGACTGAATCGAGAATGTCCTTAGCTATAAATCAAGAAAATACGTTCGGCCTTTTGTAGACTATCAGCTCTTTTCTAGACGGTAAAAGGATATGAACAACTTCCACAGATATAATCTATTCGAAACTTGGTGTCCCATTACTTCAACAACATTGCAACGATTCTGCAGCGTCACCTGGAATCTTTTTACTAAAATACTGCAGAGTTATCGTGTTTAGGCTTATTGAAATAGCCTCAATGAATAGGTTATTGTATGGGGTTTTTTTAATTTTTGATTTAATATCTTGTCTTAATTGCTTTTTAACTAAAAAAAACACCTTTCACTCTTAAAATTGGATTACATCAAAAACAAACAAACAATTTACTACATACGTAGTAAGTTCTTACTGTGTAGATCAAATTGATTGATCATTTCAGATTAATATTTTTCATTTTTTATTTGTAAAAGTATATAGTAATAGTGTTGCTTAGTAAATTGTCTTTATAAATAATAGCAAACTAAATTATAATAATAATGGCAACACTAAATATAGATTACTAATTAATATTTTTAAAATTGTAATAATTATAATGATAACAGCAAAAATTAAATGAATAATTGTTAGACTAGGCTTAGACGGAGTAGTAAAATTGTACATAATAAAATAATATACATAATTAGAAATCATGAATAATAATAATATTTTCATTAAAAGTCATTAATAAATTAACAGGAAATATTTGACTATTCCAAATTAATATGGAATATCTATTGGTTATACTTTTAAAGAAATATTAAAATATAATAATTTAACAGTCAATATCTTAAAATTAAACATATTTTTCGAGTTACTAATTTTGTAATTATATGCTTATAAATAAATGCTTGAAAATAATCAAATAGTAAGAAGTTCATAATTATATTATTACATTTAAAAATTCTGAAATACTATTGTTTAATTTAATAACATTAAATTATAAATTATGGATACGTAACTGATTTTTAGGATGATTTTATAAAAATAATTAAAATTTCACTTCCGGCTGATTGATTTAAAAAGCGTAAGGTAACCGTTGGAAGAGTTAGTTTTTGGACAGACGTGCATTACGCCAGAAAAGATAAGTAATCGTTGTTAAAATAATATTGAATTTATGCTGGTAAATTTATTGATCAAAATAGTGGTAAACTTATGTGTAAAAAGTAAAAAGATAAAGTTTTCCTGTGATTGGTTAAATAGTAGTGATATAAAGTGATCGTTAAAACTACATTTAATTGTTATATTAGATGGAAATACGAAAATTGAAGTGACATTATAAAACTTATAAAGTAAAAAGTGATAATATATAGCTTATTGCATTGGTTTACTGTGTTCTTATTTTCCTCGTCCTGAAATTATATGTTTATTTATACACTGTTTTATCATAATA